GCGGGGCGGGGAGGGAGGAGGCGGCGAGCCCGGGTATAGCTCTGACCTTTTTACCTCGAAACGCCTCTGGGATTTCTAAACAAGTAAACAGAGGGGTTGCCAGGAGAAACTATTGTTCTGGCTTCGTCAAATTTGCAAACCTTTTTGGTGGGGGCGTGAGCGGGGTTGAGGAATGAGCAAAATACCTGCTGCAACTGCAGCCGAGCCCGGGCACCCTGCCCCGCAGCGCCGCTCGGCCCCGGCCCGGCTCAGCTGGAGGAGGTCCCTGGGCGACAGCGCATCGCTCTTCCCCGGCGATACAATCTTCCCCCATCCAATACACCTCTCTTGCTCGAAAGAAAAGATTTTTGAGTGTCCAATTATCTCAGAGATAAGGAAAAAAAAATGATGGGGAAAAGGTGAAAAGAGGATTTTGTTACACTAGCAGTTTGCAAAACACCAGGAGAGGAAAAAAAAGCACAGGCAGCCAGATTGACTTTATAACCTGTTGGGCGTGAGTCAGCTTGGTTTAACCTATTCGTTGAACCAATGCGCTTGACGGTTTTGTTGAACCTGTGTGATTTAAGCTGTCTCATGGAAACAGGGCGTTCAAAAAGCTCGCGGGCTTCCACTGAGACGATTTCCCCCCCCGGTTATGCCTCTGGACCTTGCTCTGCTCCTACGGCGCCTGGGCAGGGGCCGGGGCCGCTCGCTCCAGGTGAGGCGGGCAGCGCCGGGCCGGCCCCGTAAGAGCCGGGGGAGAGCGGAAAGGCCGGGACAAAAAGGAGGGTACTGATGTGTCAGTGTGTCGGGCACAACAAAGGCTCCCAGCTCCCATTTGAAACTCAAAGGGAGTCTCCGGAAGAGTCCGCACAGGCCGTGCCGATGCGCCCTTACATATGTAACCCCCTCCGGGCTCCCCCCTCACCCCATTCCCTTTGCCCCCCTCGCTGCCAAGCCGTGTTTCTCTAACAACGATCGCCGCACACAGCTAATCTCTTCCCCCCCGCCCCGCTCTCCCTCCGAGTTTCTCACGCTCCCTTTTGTCTCAAGAGCCCGAAACCCACTGCTGTGAAGCAGGAGCCGGCTGGAAAGGCCACGCCAGGACACCCGCGGCTGGGGGGCCCCCGGGCGGCAGGATGCTCCTGCGAAGCGGTGAGGGACACCCGTGTCCGCCCCACACCCAGAGAAGCAGATAAAGAGTGGGCACCGGTACTTCAGCACCCACACAGGTACCTCTGTATCCCTACGGGACATGAACGCGTGCTCCTTACCACAGTACATCGGCGTAGACTACCCAGACAGAGGCACACGCGAGTCTCTGCAGACCTGCATGCAGAAGTCCCTATCGATACTTAGCCCTATCGCCATAGTCGGACTTTATCACAAATACGAGGTCTAGACGCACTCCTTTCTTTTATATAAATGATACACGACGACGTGGCTATTTATAATCTGGTATATTCCCATATCTCCATGTGTGTCTGTCCGTGGGTGCCTGGTATTGCATTTTTCATGAGCAAGAAAATTAGCCAAGTCCCCCTGTACACTCATACACAAAGCCACGTCTTAATGGAGATTTATTCTTTTAATATCCCAAAGGAAAGGGAAATTCCCAGTTAAAGAAATGTAACCGTGTAAATTATTAATGGCAGTCGCTGTGTTGGAGCTGTTGTCCCTCTGCGGGAGGAGGGGATGGGAAAGGGATGCCCAGAGTCCCTCTCCTCTGGCTCTGCTCCCAGAACGGAGACCCGAGGAGCACACCCGGTGCTCTGGCCTGGCGTGGCAGCTACTCCAGGGCCATCTGTTCCTTACCCCTTGGTGTGAAATGCTTCTCCTCTCCCTAAAGCATTTGTTCTCACAATGTGAGGCCCTTTTGATCTCAGAAGAGGACATTCTATCAAAAAAAAATAATAATAATACCCTGAAGACTTCCTTACTTTCAACTCCACTTTGCTGGCTGCTATTAACTCTGCTCCCGGAGCCTCTTTGCACTGAAGGTGTGAAGCCTTCCTGGGGGTCTCTGTCTGGGGACAAAACCTCCTCTCAGTGACTGTACTGTGGTGGGGTTGGGCTATTGCTGGCCCCTAAAAGCCTTTGCTGCCTTGAAGTGGAGGAGAAGAGGGGAAGAAACCTTCTGGGTTTCTCCAAACTCATTTCACACAGAAAAATTAGTCAGGGGCCACCTCTTCCCCAGCTC